ACTTTAATTTTAATGTGACAACAGAAATATATAGGTTAAGTGAACTTTAAGGAATGCCAAACCATTTTCCCACGGTACCGTTCCACATGGCCGTCATCGCACCCGTTTAACATGCAAGTAAACGCACTGGATGTTATACTGCATTTTTATTGGCCAAATGAAAATGACGTACGCGCCTATTTATAAATTATTCCGGGAATTTAAATTGTTCGATTGTCCTGAAGAAACAGACGATAAAATTGACGGAAACATGAACTGTTTCATGGTAAGAATAATCAAAATGTAAAGAACATCGTTTGTTTTAAATTTATTAAACAATAAAGATAATCAATGTTTGCAAATATATGTTCATATTGACATGGTTTAAATACACACACTCATACATACACATACACACGCACATACACACACACATACATATATATATGAGAATTAATTACTAGGTCGTCATGCGAGTGTGTCTGCTACGCACGAGCTTATATAACACCGATTCAGTGCCATCATTTTTTGGTGATGCGTGCTTAGTCGTGACGGTATATGGGTTGGTGCGTGCAGGCAAGGCGATGGGTGCCATTTACTCGCGGACCTGGGTTCGAAACTCGGTAGAGTACGAATTTAATTTCTCTAACCTGTATGATAGTATTGTTTGTATTAAACTATATATATATATATATATATATATATATATATATATATATATATATATATATATATAATGCTCATTATATTATTTTCTTACTGATACTAGTCCTCGTCAAAAGTGATATATAAATGCTGTGATAAATATATGTTATATGTTAATGAAAGCAAACATAAATAAACGTAATCCTCAACATTTCTAAAAAAATCTTTGCATCTGCCTAATATATTATTTTAGATTTACATTTTAAGCCATACATTGTTACAGGTATAATTGTATATGAACATTCATCACGAGAATACACATCAGTTTCCTTTAAATATAATTACAAGCATTAGTTTAGGTCTAATCACTGCAAGTATATTTGAATGTTTCCAGGATTTGTATCCATACATGCTGAAACAGATATTTCAGTGTGGGGTTTCAATATCGTTAACTAACTATACGAGAACATTTACAATATGTATATACTTATTGCTATGTTTGTAATTATTGGCTCCATATGTAGGGTGGCTAATCTGAGAAATTTAACATTTCCTTTAGGTATTCCAGCTTGACTGGGGCAGTGTTAAATGTGCTTTCCTATTAAATGCTTGCTTAAAGTTTTAGGATTTTAAGCATAATATATATATATATATATATATGTATATATATATATATATATATATATATATATATATATATATATATATATATATATATATATATATATTATAAACAGTAATATATACTATAAACATTGTTTATAAAGTTTTCCATTAGTTCACATGGAGTAACTCTTTCTAGCAAAAGACTCAGAAACATGATTGTTGACTTTAATAGCTTGTATTTATGTATTTGAGTCATTTTGCTATTGATTATGTTTAGTCCGATAAGAAATCATATCAAGCAGTTTCATCTATATTTATTGATGCAGGCATTGGACTATCAGAAGTTTGTTGGAAAGTACTCTAAAATATATCCATTGTTTTTATCACCTCTACATTAGCATCATTGTCATTTTCAATATCTTCCCTTTCCACACCATCTATATCATCATTATTGTCAGCGTCCCTTTCACACTCCTGTTTATTCTCAGGACAGTTTGAACGGTCTACTGAAAGAGGCACCCTACATCATGTTTCATCAACTGGACAAAATAGAGACTCATAATATTTCTTGATAAAATGAGGCTGACTTCTCACTAGATAGGATCTAAAGTTCTTCAATCTCTGTCCCTTCTTTAATTTTGCCCTGCCAACAGCCACCCCAATTTTTCCAAGCATTGTCATGTTTCTGCAATCAATTTTAAGTCTATTTATTGTCATTCGTTGTGCTATATGCACTGTTAATGCAAATGCAAGCTGAAGAGTCAATTATTTCCTACAGGCAATAGTGTTTCCTTCCTCGGGTTAATAGATTGCAAAAATGTAATATGAAACTTCAGCACTGTCCTTATGAATCTCAACAACAATTCATCTGAGTCCTTTACAAGTTCATCTGACAAGAACACATTCAGAAATATAGGAGCTCCTGCTTTAAGATACAAATATTTCAAAGCAGGACAAGCCAATAATGCTGCTGTTTCACCTTCATCTGTGCTATGATATACCTTGACTTCACCTGGATAAAGAAGAAAAGTTTTGACATACATAAACTTTCACTTTAAAGAATATTTTACTGTATGAGAAGAGATACTTTCCACTTGCACTATATAAAGACTGATATATATATATATATATATATATATATATATATATATATATATATATATATATATATATATATATATAATAACATCTTTACAGTGTTATGTACAATTCAGGCTTAAAAGTTGTTTGCCATGATTAACGTTTATCCATAACTCTAATTTGTAACTGTATACAGTAGTTTACATACACTTTAATGTCATGGTTGCTCTTATTAATGACTAGATTGGTTTTTCTATTAGAATTACTGACATGTATCAGGTATGCATTTTTTTAGAATATTATCAGGTGACAGTGTTTATATATAAGGAGTTTGGTAAATGGTAAGCACTAACTCATTCTTTTCTAACAATCAGTATATAAGAAATTTATTTTAATAACCCAATTTTACAGTTGTTCTAATCAAATAATCTAATCAATGAGGAATGAATTATCAGATATATTAGTTGAAATTACTTGAGGTTTCCATGCTCTTTGGAGTAATGCAATATTTGGATGTATGTCTACATTTTTAAAGATATTCTGGATTATATCACTGATACATATCAGAACGTTTTTCTTATTGTAGGCTGATAGAAAGACTCCAAGAAGATCAATAGGCGACGTTAATATTTAATGACATAATGAGAGAATGTAAAGGTGTTACATCAAAGACACTGTCAACATTTTATTAAAACTTTTCCCTCGTGTAAAGAAGGTCACACGACGCAATTCAGGCAAGAAAGAAATATGTTATGAGGGACTCTCTTGTGTCTCAAAAGGGAATTCTCCGAATGAGGTAAAGACACCTTTTGATGAACTAAGAACCTGTATTCCTAGAAACGTAACAATTCTACCTTCTGTGAAAGATTTGTCAATTGTTGTTGGATCTTCAATTAATGTCAATGTCGGTATTATCACGAAAACTGTCAATATATCAGACACAAGCTGGACACTTACATAAGAAACAAAACTGTTGACCTGTGTAAATTAGGTATTAGTGATGAATTTGTATGTACACAAATATGTCTGCAGAGGATATTAGACATTGTTATGAAGATGTATGTATGCAATGGTGTGCCAAAAATGGACTCCTCTATGCTAGTAAAGTCTCTGACAGCAACTGAAAATGTGAAACATTACAATTCTGATAATTATAAAAGGCTGATGCATTCCAGATTTTGTCATCAGATTCTTCCGTGAGTTCCACAAGAAGCAGGACCACAGGACAAAGGTTTTCTGTGGATGTACCAGGCTGCGAAAGATGCAAATTTTTCTGAGGAGGGAAGGGCTGGTTGTTTGATTCATGATGAAAAAAAAATTCAATAGGATCTTGTACTGGATATGAAAGGTGGCAAAACTCATTTAGTTGGATGTGTTCACACTGGGGGTGAATATAATGATCTCAGGAAATGTGGAACAGCAACAGACGTAATACAGATGTTTCTTGTGATACACAGACTTCAGATTCCCAATTGTTTATTATCCAAGATATAGTGTGAAAGCTACTAAAGTGCACATCATGATATGGGATGTCAATGCTAGATTGCAGGACTGGGGATTTTCTGTGGATGACATCTTACAGGATGGTGTTGAAGAAAACAGACAATTTATAAATCCAACTAAATCAGTTACAATGTCCCAAGACGTTTTGCATAATATGAAAAAAGATCAGAAATGGTGTAATGAAAAGTGGTGACATAAAAGGTCTGCATTTAAGAAAACTGAAACTGAATGGAAACTACATTTTGTGAAAACACTGGATCAGTGCAGTTCACTGGGATAGAGAGGTGCAGACTAATATTTCTCAAAGTTTCAGATGCTCACTTGTATCAAAATTCAGCAGAGAAGATGCGAAATCATCTGGCTGAATAAATGTTGGATTATAATGCTCTGTTCCTAATGAAGAGTTATCAGGCAAGTTTACCGAGTGGATCACACCTTAACAGGCCTGTCAAGATTGTTGATGACGATCGTCTGCAGTATTTGTGCCATATTTTGCAATGGTTCAAAAATGACTTATTTCAGCCATGAATTATGAAAGTATAGCCAAGGGCAAAAGATTATAATGTTTGCTATCGATTTAATGCTGTGGATTATCTTGAATCTCTGTTAGTAACATTTCCTGAGAAATGCAAGAGACTGTGCCATTAAGGGTTAATACTGACATATTGGATAATCACTTCTGTCAAGAACGCAGCCTTCACAATGGGAATGATACACATCCTTCCTAATCAACATATTGTTCAACAGTCATTTCTGTCATACTGGGAAATTCACTAAAATCTAGAAGCAGATAATCAAATAGTGGTATTGCTGCAGCCTTATATTTACTTTCTATGTGATTGACAAAGAGGAGGAAAACCATGAGTATCAAAGAGTTTAAGTTTGCAGCTTTCATACAACATGAACTTTAAAAGGATATTTGTGTATGCTGTTAAATGTAACTTTGTTTGTGAATGGAAATGGGTTTGTTCAGGACTGCTGTAATGTATGTGTGTGATATGGAATTTTAATGTAACTTTTAAAAATTTCAATCACATCACTATAAGGTCCGACGTGTGGCAGTTTATCGCAATGTCTATCACTGGGGCAATATCCCACCCTGACACCAGGTTGACCAGTCATAACACTAACCTCTTAATACGGAGCTTCGAGTGAGGCAAATATAAGCACCATTTTTAAAAGTCCTTTGTATACCTCAGCCGGAGTTCGAACCAGCAGCCTCCTGCATCAAAGTAGGATGCCCTGACCACTTGGCCACGGTGAGGTCAGGACTGCTGTAGAAAATATTTTTAAGAAATTATTTCTCCATTTTATAGTTATAGTATAACAACAAACGTCTTACATTAATTGAAAACTTAACCAAGAATTTAATCTGACTCAGACCTGATTTCAGTAGCAATGGAGTCCATAAATAAATATAGAGAAAAGCTGTATTTCCAAACACACGAAACTTATGACAGGCACGATCAAATACTACTGCGAGCAATTGACATTATAAGTTAATGAGGGATCTGCACTTATCTTCCATCTCTAGCAAATTGAGTTGCACTTTTTAACACCATAATGTAGGACAAAAATTAAAATGGGCTGATTACCAGCTGGTAGTGGATGTTCTAATTTTAGCAGCAGATTTTCTATGTCTTTAGATAACTGCACACCCCCTCTTAGTTCATGTACAGCTTTGATTAACTCTCTTGTCAGGTATTTAGAAAACAAGTATGTTTATTTATTTCACAGACAAATTTAAACATGTCACCTAGGTAAAAACATCAAAGTGAAAACTTTGCTGTAATGTATTTAGGAAAGGCTGTGTTTGTATGCATGTGTTCTCATGCTTACTTGCTCTGACCTTCACTCCAAAGTCCCAAGTTTAAGCCGATTTCCTTTCGAGCAGGTCCTTAAAGGATCAAGAGCAAGTACTGGATGTGTGACTTCATCTTTGCATGCCCATGCATATATATATATATATATATATATATATATATATATATATATATATATATATATATATATATATATATATATATATATATGTGTGTGTGTGTGTGTGTGTGTATGTGTATGTGTGTGTTTACACATATCCAAATTTTTTACTGAAAACGATAGAAAGAACAAAATGCAAATTTTCTAAGAGAAGGAAGATATTTCATTTAGTTTCATCTTTTCCTCTTCTTTCACGTGATGTTTATTGTTATTAAAAAATAGTGTTCAAATTACCTTCCATTGGTTTGTGTACTTGTGGAAAAACATAATGATGTGGAATCAGGCTGTGAATCTACTCATTAATGATAATGAATTCTCCTTTCTCATGGTACACATCATTTGGCACAGGCTTCAGTTAAAAGAAACCACCAGCGACAATGATCTGAATGCCACCAAACGGGACACTGGTTTCCTTAACTGTTCTGGATACCTTCTCTATTTGTGGGCTTTGCATGATCTCCAGTGCATTTTAAAATCATCAAAAGTGCAGAGACCTACTTGTTGATATAATGCTAAAGTATAATAAGGGCATATCTGTTTCACCAAATTAAAGTACATAAAAAGAAACAATGAGTACCTTGAGTCGGCGATATTTTTAAAGCAAGATGACGGTACCGAAAGTAGGATTGGTTCTCATGAAATGTCGCAAGAGCAAGCGTCAATTTTGTGCCATGACATTCGTGATCTAATCAAAATAGTGTTTTAAGCACCTGTTAAATAATGTTAACGTCTTTGGGGATACTATGCAGAAATTGCAAAGTCCTCAGCGGTGACTTTCCTTCATCAGTCTCGACAAATTCTGTCAACTCGAACCATAACCGCGGATGTTGTAGATAAAAAAAAAAAAAAACTTCGCTAGTCTGGTTCCCTAACTTGTTACAACTTCCTTAAACTCCTCAAAACGAAGAATAACATAGTGGTTAGAAGTCAGGAAACCAGACTAAAACTACGAGGGGTTTTAAGGCGAATTACATGATGGGGATAAAAACACCACAAACGCTGATAATTTTATGCAACTATAGTCGCATTTAGTACATGCTTCTTCAGGTACAAAATGTTTTGAAAGAAACGGATTACGTCTTTATATTTTAAAATAACAATTATATCATTATATATCGTCATAAAAATATGCATCATTTTAACAATTATATATATATATATATATATATATATATATATATATATATATATATATATATATATATATATATAATGACAGGATCGAAAAGATATACGAGTCTCTAATTAAACCCAAATCAGTAAAATAATAAACTAAAATAGAGACAAAGTCATACATATAATTATATCGTTATAAATGATATACAATTTATTAATTTAAAAAATATATAATTTTATAAAGTGCAATGGTATTAAAGCCATTAGGATACAAAGTATCTAATTTATGAATCCCACTTGTTGAAGCAATTGTCAGTAGCGCTAATACAAAGGAAGTATTTTCTCTACGTTATAACACTATCTGCGTATCGACTGATGTGATCTATTTCTTAGCCTGTAACAAATGTAATATGCAATATATTGGACAAACACTTTAATAAGTGACTAAGAGAATGAATAGCCATCGTTTTCATATAAAGAAAATTATTGATATCCTCGGTTTTTCTCTAATATTTCTACACATTTTAATGCCAGTACTCAATATATACTCATTTTCTTTCATGCCAATACATTTTGTGTATGGATACATGAAATAACTTCAAATTTCGGAATGCTCATGATCAAACCTATATTTATCAGAATAGATGAAACCTTGATGACAGCTTCTGTGTAGTGAAAAGGATATGAGCCACGGAATTTTCTGGACTTAAATGTGACCGAAACATGTGCTTCCAGTTCCGCAACAAAAGGTAAGGTGCTAATTTCAGTAATGCGTGTTCCAAGCTCAAAACTATTTAAGGACTGAAATTCCATCAAGAAAGCAATGTCTCTATATTTTTTTTATTCACAGCTCTCAAAAGATTCTTTTTCCTACAATATAACTTTCACTATCAACCAGTCTTGGCAACACAAACCCATATATATTCTATGTTCTATTTCCAAGCTAGTTCCTACTTTTCCATACAATTAGTACCGTGTGTCCTGCAGGGTAAATCACAGTCTGAGGCAACTATTTCAAGAACTTGTCGTAAACAGTACTTAAAGCAGCTTTCATGTTGTAGACAAAATCGTTTAATATTTGGTTGGGGTTTTCGTTGTGGGAGTAAAGCCTCAAACGTTTTACGAAGTCAGCAGTTATATTATAGCATAGAACAGTGACTTTAAATTCAAAACGTGAAGCAATGGTCAGTGAGGATTAACACCAGGACTCAGGTAAAAAGCTGATAGCAACCACGACATGTGCAAATTATACTGATTGCAATTCTGGTGTCAGGAAAGAATCAGAGATTACATGAAATCTTCTATGTATAATTCTTAAAGTCTTACTTCTTACTGTAGTATAGTATGATTCTAATATTCACCTAGTCAGAGTACTTTGAGTAAAGCCTGAACTATATAATCTTCACCTAGTCAGTGTACTTTGAGTAATGTCTGAACTATATAATCTTCACCTATTAGGTGTACTTGGAATAATGTTTGAACTATCCCCGAAGTAGTCTTCATCTGTTATGTCTACTTGGAGTAATGCCTGAGCTGTCCCTAAAGCAGTCTCCACTTGGTAAGTGTACGTGGAGCAGTGTTTGAACTGTCCATAAAGCAGTCACCACTTGGCAAGAGTACATGGAGTAATATCTGAACTGTATAATCTTTACGAAATAAAGTCTACTCGAAATAATGTTGAACTGTCCCTGAAATAGTCTTCACCTGATATGTCTACTTAACGTAATATCTGAACTGTCTAGGAATTAGTCTTCACGTAGAAAGTGTACTTGGATTAAGTTGTCACTCAAGCTTCACCTTGTAAATTTGCATGGAATAATGTCTGTTTTGTCACTGAAGTAATCTTTACCTATTAAGTGTACTTGTTTTAGCAAAAAAGAACGTAAAACCTCTAAATAATGCTCCATTGGCCTGAAACTGTGTAAAGTACAGAAATAAAGTTGTATTGGTCTGAAAATGTCTTAATGCCAGCTAATTATAATAATAAAGATAACGTATATAAACTTGGATGATTATAACGTACTTATTACCTGCGCTATCGCAATAAAATGGATTGGTGTGTGTGTGAATGTGTGTGTGATTTAGATTTTTAATGTAGCTTTTAACAATTTTTCAGTCATATTCCTACGATGTCTGCAGTGTGGCAGTTCATAGTAATGTCTAGCACTGCGGCATCATGCTCCAGACATGTAGAATGGTGTCCCGCCCAGTCACATTATTCTGACACCAGGCTGACCAGTCCGAACACTAACCTCGTAATGCTGAGCACCAAGCGAGGCAGCTGTTAGTACCATTTATGCAAGTCTTTTGGTATGACTCAAACGGGGCTCGAACCCACGACCTTCCGCATCTGAGGTTTACGCTCTGACCATTAGGCCACCGGAGCGGTAAAAAAAGGATCGTGAATAGATGTGTAGATGCACAGCTGGTCAATAATTAGAACAGCTTCTAATACTGCTTAATTTGTAGCTATAAGATATAACCATTAAATCAGAGAGCTTGGATTTTCTTTCCAGATAGACCATTTGTTCTGATTTTTCTCAGGATCACTTTTAATCGGTTTTGTAGGGGAGTTTGTGGTAAAAATTTGCTTAAGAATACTTTATTAAAATATGCCGGAAGCAAATTGAAATGTCCGTCCATAATAATTGATATGCCACGTCTACGCTTAAATTTATTATGTACATTTCCAGTGTATCCTGAGAGCAGTTCTACAGGTGATAAAATTGCAGTTATTTATATCTTGTTCATTATGTTCTAATGTATAAGCTCCTGGCGTGAGTTCTCTCGTTTTTTTTTTCTTCTTGTCAGTGTGAAATATCGGAATGCATCATGTTAACTATATTTTTAAATAAAACCAATCGAGTGACTGCCACGATTTAAAAGATGAATTATATTTCATTAAAAAATCACACTCAAATCACACGCAAATCAGTGAAGCTAGACTATCTCCTACAATAAAAAAAAAAACGATTTACATATCATAAAAATCATAATGCTTGTGCAATAAGTCTGATAACAATAATGTAAACAAACTTTTAAAAAGACGCTTTCCGTCGGGGCTTAAGACTATATAAAAATGAACAAAATGATAAAAGTTTTCTGATTGGCTACCACACGAAGCTACACCAGGTACTGCTTACAAGTACCCGAGATAGTCGCCTCAGATTAATTTACCGTACTGCTGCAAAGAATCACGTGACCAATCAGACAATTCCAAAACAAGTCTCACATCCGCAGCTTATCGGTAAACTAATGTGATAGTGATAGACTGGATTTAATTTAGCGACATGATAGTTATATCAATCATAGTATCTTTCACAGCCCAGACTATACATGTCAATTTGGAATTCATTTGGCCATATCTTTAGAATACAGCATACATTTACAGTGCCTTTACAATGGAACATACCATTGCAATGCCTTTAGAAGGGAACAGACCATTACCATTCCTTTAAAATGGAACAGACTATTACAATGCCTTTAGACTGGAACAGTTAGTTGATTGCCATTTCTTTATTATTTTGATTATCAAACTTCAATTGATTAATTGCCCTCTCTGCGCAACTCTTGGCTTGGATGTTTGCTTATCAAGGTTTGGGAGATGTCCAGATTGTAACTTGGTCTTGCACTGTGGCTAGGTAATGTCTGTCTGGTTGCAGGCAGAATTTGTGGAAGGTTTCTCCTCCAACTTAGCTGCCCCAGCACAGGTTTGTAGAGTTCGAGGCCTCCACAAATGTTCTAACAGACCCCACCCCCATCTCTTGCTCCTAATTTACATGCATGGCAGATGCAATTAGGGCAGTCTCTAGAACGCCAAAAAATTGATTTGTTTCACTGACAGGGAAAGAGGCGTAAGCGTATTGGCGTCTGTAGGATGAAAATCCCTGGTATGGACTCAAGGCTAAAAGGTCATGTAAGCACGTGCATTTTTAGGAATTTTCATGCATACTTTTTACAATCCAAATGCAAAGAAACCCACTTTCTCAAGAACATGTTTCAAGTAATTTTTCAGTTAATTTTATGAGAAGAGTGAACCGGCTCTTTCTCCATCACACACCGATCCGTGCATGATGATGAACAGAGATGTAAAATAAATCTCTCCTAATCATTAAGCATGTGAAAATAATACTATGGAGATAAGGCAAGCATGGTTCAACTCTTCATTTAAACAGTACATCGCTGAAAGAAGCATTACAATACACTTATTTTGCCGGGGAAGTCTCTTCACAACAGCAGACATGGATGTAAGCAATAAGAAAATCTTGCTTTTATTGAAAAGATGGCTGACATACAAATAAATCTGACAGTCTTGGCCAGAATTAGGTTAATTGGCTTTGGATAAAAATTTGCAGGTATCAATCAGGGCCACTGATTGAATAAATCTTGAAAAAGAATGGACTGTTTAGTCCATATTAGTCCATATTAGTCCAAGAGTGTGAAAGTGTTCATTCTTATAAAGGGTTGAGGAGTTGTGAGAGCTATGTAAAAAAATATCATCTGCATCAGCTAGTTTTCTTTACATCCTTCTATCTACAAGAAGCACATCAACCTATATGATTTCAGTGTATTGTGATGCAACTCACCACAAGGGAGGCAACTACCTTATGAGAGAAGGCAGCTGAATATGAAAGGTGATCACGTTTTAGAAATAATCAACTCTTCAACAGGTCCTAGCATCAAAGAATCTGCATGTAAGCAGACCATATTGTTTCTGCATGTATTCAATCAGTGGTGATGTTCTGTATGCCATTACTAATATTATTGAGATCATTTGAGTTAAAATTGAATTTGGTACATTTATCTACATTTTAATATGCTTGTGTGAAAATTCATCAAGCCACAAATATGGGTATCATTCATAATATTTAATGGAATGAATCATCAGGAATTGAATCAATATAAATTATTATATGGCTGACATCTCTATTAATCTTATCCAGCCACACATTAAAAGTTGAATAGAAAGCAACAAGCTATTCAAGATGTCTTCATGCATGTGGGGAGAGGGCGATATTCGTTGAACTAGACCAGACCTTCAGATGAATGTGTGCTTGTATGTAAAGTTTCATGGCAATCCTCCTGAAGTATAGGAATAGTGGTGTCAACAGAAGACAGGCCATTGCACAAGTGTCTCTGCTTTATTACCAGTTTAGGAAAGAGAGAGAGAGAGAGAGAGAGAGAGAGAGAGAGAGAGAGAGAGAGAGAGAGAGAGAGAAATAGAGAGAGAGAGAAATAGAGAGAGAGAGAGAGAGAGAGAGAGAGAGAGAGAGAGAGAGAGAGAAATAGAGAGAGAGAGAAATAGAGAGAGAGAGAGAGAGAGAGAGAGAGAGAGAGAGAGAGAGAGAGAGAGAGAGAGAGAGGAGAGAGACTCTTCTTGTTTGCTCTTATCTTTGTGTCCAAACAATCATTTTGTAATGGAAACTGATAAAAGAGAGAGAGAGAGAGATCATCACTCCTCCCACTCAATTTAATAACTGTGGCAGAAAAAACCTATAGTTTGAAGACCTGCATTCATTTATTCAAATTTTGACATTCAATATGATCACTTTTCAATTCCTTGTATGTATTTAAAGAACTAAATTCAAAATTTGATATAAAGCTCATTAAATTTGGTATGTCCTCGAATGTTGAAGAAGCGTGAATTTACATAAAAGAAAACCATTATACATGACAAAATAGTTGACTCACTGCCATTTAGTGAAAACTTCTTTACCCATTGGCATTTACTGCTGAAAAGCTGACTCATTGTCATTTACTGCAAAATAGTTAACCCACTGCCAATTTCTGCAAATAGTCGACTGATTGCCATTTACTGCAAAACAGTTGACCCATGGCCATTTACTGCAAATGGTCAAGCCATTGCCATTTACTGCATGGTGCATATCAATATTAAAAAAAAATGAAATGTTAAACCAACCATTTCATGTATGGATGTAAATATAAAATAACTGAAAACAAAGACTCCATGAACAGTACATTATATAATATTCAGTAGTTTTGCATGTAGTAGGATATTGTCGCCTCTGGAGATTTCTAATCAATACGACTTTTACCTTTGTTGAGGTATATGGTCTTGAACTAAACATATCAGAGACTACTATTTTCTTATTATGCTTATCAGGACCTTTCACCTTTAGACACCTGAATCAATAGGTGTCTTTATTACCTTAAATGTAAGTCAAGCACAAATTGTACGAACTTTTATACAACTCAAAATTAAATTGGTATCAGATAGATGGACATGAAAACATAATATATTCCACCCTATGGCAGTTATATATATTGGGGACAAGTCGAGATCACATGGTCATGCTATTTTATTCCTGCCATGCACTTTCTTGAAGAACTCCAAAGCAAGCTGATAAACTCCTTACATATTGGCATCAATTTATATTAGTCCTGTATGGGTTATCTCCCTAAACTGTTTCAGGCCATGAAAATATACACATAAAACAGGTAGATGGAAAACACATTTTATTTTAATAAAGCAGAACTTATATATAGCTAATTATTTTCTGAACTGTTGAAAGTACTACGAGTTAATTATCTACAAAAAAATGTTTAATACGCTGTAAAAGTAAGTTTTCATTTTTAATATTACATAAAAGAAATAAATTCATAAAAAAACTCAAGAGGCCCAAATCAGCCTGATATTGTTTATCTGGCTCACATAACTGTTGACTATTTCACTTAGCAAGCATATGCACTGTTTCAGCCAGGTTCGACAAAAGGGTCTAATTGTTACCCATTATTGAAAAAGTGGGAAAGCAGTGTTATGAACACAAACAATCAAAGAGAAAGACTATCAAAGTTTGTGAACATTATTTATTAGTACCAGTAAATAATTTAGACAGAATGTTATGTGCAACTGATTTAATAATTCATAAGGACATGACATGTTTAGGCAGCTATCGTGCCTTAATCCTTGCATCAGATCAACATGAAAATAGATTTTATCTTGTTCTTCTATAAAATGCATACCATGCTTTGAAAATAAGAAACAAGTTTTAAAATTATATGTTATACTGAACGAAATACAGCATCTCGACTTCTAATGATAGGAAATAAAATCAAAAGGAAATAATGATGATAACGATGGCATAAAAAAGAAAATTAATGGATTATATAATTCATATTATTAACAACTACAAGATATCTGAGATATACCATCTACATGATTTTGTCATGATGACACAAAACAATTTCCTTCAATTGTCTAATATTAAAAAACTCATTTTTGATTTCATATTCTTCATATATACAAAAACATCAAGCCTTTCAACATTAAAAAGACCATCTCAGCAAGACAGTCAATATCCTCCTAAAAGTTTTCAGTATGCTGTTATGAAATATTGTGAATTCATATTGTCATGGTGGAAAACA